ACATATGAACAGCGGGCGTCTGCTTGTACTTTCTGTCTTGACTCTCGCTTCTGATTCTGTTGTCGCAGTAGTATATGACAATGAGTTCTTTCCCTCTTTCTCCATTCCTTGGTCAGGTTGACAAAAACGGAAGGCTATTTATCTAGAGCTTCTTGTGCATCGCCACTTGCCTTGAATGACTTTCAAACAGCGTTGCCATTGCGATGCCATCTCGACAGGACTGCATCGAGCTGTTCAGAACTCGAAGGACTGTGAAAGGCCCCACTCACGTGAACGGGAAGCCACGATTCAAAAGCCACCTGAACGGATTCCACACAGTCCACACCAAAGCCGAACCATCAGAAAATCCCACACTTAGCACTTGAAGACGGCATCAAAAAGCAATCTTGGGGGCCCAAAGCTCTCTGAGCGCTTGAGCTTGATCTACAAGCCTGGAACGCAACAACACAAAACCTCACAATCCGCACAGCCTTTACAATACTCCCTCGAAACCGTGATGGCAAGCCAGGGACAATCAGAACCTGACAATCCTGGCATCAAAGGCTGCCTGCCGGTTGAAGCTAAGTGGAATGCCTACACCCTAAACACTCAACCGTGGATGCTGCCTTGTCGTCTCTGGAGAGGGTTTCCCCCTCTGGATCAACATTGACCTGACAGCAATGCTGGCAGAGTGTACTTGTCCATCCGCCTATCTGGCCACCGATTAGGTGACCCATCCGTCCTCCTATATCCAGCTCAACAACACAAGCTTGTCTGTACCCATGCAAAGGCTTAATCAATGCTCGCATTCCTGCGCCTACTGCGAGACACTGGGCTGCAAAATGACTCGGCCCAATCAAGTAGCCGGCCCTCCACCATGCAGAAAAAGACTTTTCAAAAAGAAGCTAGCTGTCTGACTTAAGTACGCACACCTGGTAAAGTGTCTGGGCTGCCGCAGGCATTCAACTTTTTGACTTTTGAAGCCTTGCCAATTCAAGATGTATGTGACTCATGTGAAAGCCGGTCAGAGCAGTTTCCACACTTGCACACATCCAAGTCGCCCTGCAAGTCTTCAAATCCTGCGGATCCTACGACATCCTGCATTCCCACGGCCCTACACTTTTGAAAGACCCCCTTGATCCCAGAACCCGGGACTGCCTTTGCCTCTGCAGGGCTTCACGGCCCTTTGGAAATGGACTGGGAGACTTTCTCCAAGGGGCTCAAATGGGCCTTAGAGCTCCCTAGCTGTCCTGCCTGCACCACGTAGAGCTCGCGAGGCTCCCCCTCAAAAGTCCTGAAAATGACGGAGTTGAGGCACCGGATGGGTCAGGCCTTCGTGGTAGCACAACTCACAGCCTTCGAAAGAGCTACGACGGATCTCCTAGGAGAGGTGTTCTGTTCAAGTTAGGGGCATGATTTGAATGGGTGCTGCTTTTGGAGTAGCGGGCTTGCCTCCAACCCACTCATGCCCGGAAGAGGTGGGCAGTTGCCTTAACCCCAAAGCGTACCATCACAACAGGCCACGTGGATTCACCGGGGCGGAGCTCGCGGATTTCCGCTGGCTGCCCACTGGTGCCTCGGATACTTTTTGGAGCTGATGTGTGCGGGGCCTGGGGTTAGCGAGGTGCGGCTTATGAATGGGATCAAGGCTGACGGGCACAAGGTTTCAATGCATGGTGTGGAGTATTTACAGATGCTGATGTACATGAAGCATACGCATGCACAGATGCGCTACATAGGCTTGGCTTACGTGTCTGCGCGATGCGCGTTTGCACGCCTGTGTGTTTGTAACTTACGCTTGCGAGAGCAGTGGAACCACGACAAGCCAGCCAATAGTCCGTTAAGGTACCCGAGCAGCAGGTAGAACGAGAACACACAGGAAAGGAGACGCCAATGAGCGGTCTTCATGGCGAAGCATAATGAGAGTAGGTAGCAACATACCAGGTGGTCTAGCCTCAACCAGCACGACCAGCACCAGGACCTAAATTTCATCAGGGTGGATCATCATTATCATCATGAGTCCTGCAACAGGTCCCGCAAGATCAGCCAAACAACTCCAAGTACAAGATTGAAACAAAAGACAAACTTAAACGAACGTGTCAGAGAATACTAAGTTGCTCAGATACACCAAGGCAGGATTCAACATGAGACCCACGACATCCGTGGCACAACAGGTATGCAAACAACTCCCAGAAGAACAGCGCGAATGTGGGAACCCATCGTACGTACGGAAGCCGTGCCTGTACAATAAATGGGCTTCGTCTTCAGGCTTCAGGTGTACTGTCTAGGCAGAAGAATATCTTCCAAGCCTAGCGAGAAAAGGTCTTCGACTTTTGTGCAATGCATGACTGTCATCATCCGTCAGCTGAATGTGTGTGTGTGTGTCCATATGTATATATACATATATGTATATGTATACATGTACGAAGTCCTGGAACGGAATGGGATGGTGATGTGTGAGTTGTCGAATATCTCTCCTTTCTGAAGAATCCGATCCGAGAACGTTGAGCTTGGCGACCCGCCGCGAGGATCTTTGTCCGCACCTCAGAACCATCTAGACCTTTTTGGCTCTTATAGCCCTGCCCGAAACACTCCGAACTCGACCTTCCCCTAAAAAGGGTCCCATCATACGAGCTCTGATAAGGCTTCAGGCGGGTTCAGGGTTTGCAGTTTGGGGGCCCTGGGCCCACTGCGAGGGGGGAGAGGAACAAAGGGAGGCAGAGAGCGAGAGAGGCAGACTGAGACGACGTCAATCACGGAGACAGCACAGACAGAGAAAGAGAGAGAGGGTAGGAGGGTGGCAAGCAACAACTCACACGCCCACAAGGAGAATGCAGAGCCTGACATAGGTGTACATCAGTGGTCCGGCCGCCGGCGCCTGCCAATCTGCATCTTTGGACACACCAATGCTTGCAGATGGCATCTTGGCAAACCTGGCACAGGGTCCCCGACTCAAGGAAAATAATACTATTAATAATACTATTAATACTACTAATGCTATGTTACTCATATTAACACTAATATATCAATTCCCGCACATCAGAGAGGGTCAACGTGATCCTGACCTCGAAACGTCTGCACTCCCAAGGGCAATGCTGCAGACTCTCGTGATCCCAACTTGAGCTGATGCGTTCCATCCCCTTCTCCACAGCTCATGAAAACAACACCCCTCGCCCCAAACGTCCGCCTATAAATCGCTGCCCCACCATAGTGGAGCTCTATGGGGGTCGCATTCCTTGCAGGGCAGCGCCGGGGGTCGTCCCGATCTTCTCTTGATCAGGGCCTGAATAGGGCTTTTGTTTTTCTTTTTCGTTCTAAACCGATTACATACATGCAGTCAGGAGATAGTCTTACTAGTATCTGTGCTTCCTACGGTACCTCGAATTTGCTTTAAGCTGTACCTTGAATACTCCGCCGCCAACAAATTTGCTCCAGGATCGTGTCACGCAAATCCGATCGCTCAGCAGCCAGACTGCTGCCTAGAGGTTTGGAGATGGCCGTAACCTTTTGAAAGGGAGCCTGCATTCTGTAAGAACGTCACGGGAACTCATCTCCGCCGCGCCCAGTTCAGTCAAGTTACACCGCCGTGCCGTTGCCAGACCAGTAGGTCCTCGGATGCCCTCCACCGATACTCGAAGACTTGCAGCAGCAATATGGGTCGAGCGTTTGGGGTGTGTCCCTGGCTGCGTGATTGACGCTGAGAAGTTGTACACGAGACCCAGAAGCATGGTGAATTGCGTCGGTCCTTCTTGACGTTCCCCCCCAAGCCACCCCGACCGGTCACATGTCAAGGGAAGCCCATCAATCGGCGGCCTGAAACCTACAGTCTACTCTACACCCTAAACCCTAAGCCGCGTAGGATCCCAAAGGCCATAAACTCCCACTAGTGAACTCCTCACCGAAAACCCAGAAGATGGAGTCCAGTCATCTCTTTCTTCAGTGCTGCATGCTCTCGCTTTTCGTGGGAGGGGTGGAGGGCGCTTGGGACATGAGTCATTGGAGTTATTAGGACTACTAGGATATAGGATTATTCGGGATTTAAGGATTTAGGAGCTCAGGAAGAAAGCTCGAGCGCTGAGAGAAGAAGCTTTGCACCCTTTATGGCGCAGATTCTAGTTGCGGGATCTGGCTGTTTGAGGCGACATCTTCGATCCATGTGCCGAATCTCTGGAGGTAGTCTTCATGCATCACACTTCATACGTCGAGTGGCGGAAAGCTCGTGCAATCCCAAAAGGGTCGGTCGCGCAGATTCGGTGGCATCAAGTACCTGGATTTGGGAAACGTGCCCCGTATTCCGAAAGCTGACGAAGCCCGACGACGGAAAACGTCGACAAGCTCGGAAACCAAACACCGCTACCACCCAGCTCTTTAAGAATCGCGTCCGGCACGGCACGCCTTACTACGATGCTTGGGAGCCCCTAACCCAGCTGCTGACGTACCCAAAAGTGTTGTCGCCCTGATGCCTCTTTGCTGAGCAAGACATTACTTGATTCACTGACTCTCAGAATGAAGTGCAAGCAGCCTCAAAACCCATCTACGATTCTGAAGAGAGCTCTCAACGGCAACGCAGCTCCACACGTGCTCGTGCACGGATGCTGCTTTAGAAAAGTGTCTCGAAAACTGCCTTATTCAAGCTCTTCGATGCCTATGCTCGAGCTTGCCGCAGCCCTTGGGGCGAGCCTGGCTTCGCTCGGCCGATGGGCGGCCTGATGCCAGCATGTCTGATTTCTCATAATCGTGCCCACTTCAGTCCCTATCACTGTAGCACAGTATACCCCAAATGCTTCTCAGAGCTCACCAATCTAAAGCTTCGCGGCTTAGTGTGTTGTCCCTTCTGGACACGGTGAGGGAGCAGGAGTGGGAGGTGAACTCGGTGCAAGGCACGTAAAGGGTTCAGGGTCTGGGGATTGCCGGTGGAGTTTGAAGTTCGGGCTTGAGTGATCCTTGGGCGCAGGGAGCCCGCGATTTCTTCTCAGCTTGCACCCCCTTTTTCCTTCTGCACATGCCCAAAGCCTCTGACTTTAGCTCGCTAGGTGAGCCAAGGGTAGCTCTGGCTTCGTGGCCAGATTGGGATGGTCGAGTTGTGAGCGCACCTCGTCCTGAGATATGGATCCAGGGTCTAGGTTTGGGTATCGAGCTTTCAGTTTGGGTTTTAGGGCGTTAAGGCTTTGGGGCTTTGGGGCGTTAGGTTTTTTTTTGTTGCAGTGCCCGTCCAAAGGGGCCCACCTGTTTTTGCGAGCTTTAAGGTTTTAGGGCTTAGGGTCAGATAGTCATGATCGCTGAGAGTCGTGCTCGAGCCAGGTACGCGAAACTACCAACAGAGGTTTCGTGTCATGTGGGATCCACCTTCAGAGGCCTAGAAACGTCATGGCACCAAATGCAGAATATGCGGAGAAAATTCAAAGCTTTCTGGGTATGTCATCAGGATACTTACAGTATTGGCAAGTGAGAGATGCCTGTTGAACGTTCGCGGCCAAGCAGCAGCGATGCAAGGTATCTCCGGGCCCTGGGAATCCAGGGTGACTTCCAGGACGTTGGGTATCCGGAAATCGCCATCTTCGTACATATGCGCAGCATTATTGCCGTGGAGGTGCACCTAGGATGTTCGAATCGCCAGGAGCTTGGTCAGGATGTGGAGTTATACATTTCAACGCGTAAGAAGTCTGTTGATAATGCTTCACTTGCAGGTAAAGCTCTCACCGCGAAAAAACAAGGTCTCGATTTGCCACGCAATCACGTGTGGACTAATAAAGAATGGCTGTGCTATTGCATCGGTCCTTGGTGCTGTCTTGTCCGAATCCTTTCAATGACCTGCCGATGAATTGAAGAGCCTTACATGTACAACTTGGTTGGGAGCAGCCACTCGGAACCGAAGCTCGGTGGCCTATTTGAAGCCGGAAACAAGGGCGATGAGATTGCACTCACGGTTTGATTAAGGGTTTATGAATTGCGGCTTAGGGCTTGGGGGTTTCGGGTTTCAAGGGTTTCGGGCTTCGGGGTATTGGAGCTTAGGGCTTAGGATTCGGGGTTGAGGGTATGGGGCATGGGATGCGTAAGGCTCTTCATCCCAGGCACGATTCGGAATCCCGCTTCCTTCAAACGCCGCATCGTGGACACGAACTGCACGTGCTGCGATGTGTCAGCAAGCCAATGGAACTCGACCACCTCACCGGAAGTCATCTCAGAACTAGCTGTAAAGCCTAAACCCACCTGGATCTTCCTTCCGAAGCCCTGTTCACGCGCAGCCTTTCGCTTCGGTTTCTACAAGGTTTTCTACCGGTGCGCGCAGGGTTTTTGCACTTCTGCAGATGGTAGGACCGACTTCAGGTTTGGACTTGAAGTGGATACATACATACATACATACATACATACCCACATACCTCTATACATACATACAGCATACATACAGCATACATGCATGCATACATGCATACATACAGACAGACAGGCTTGCATACATGCATACATACATACATACACACGTACATACACAACTGTCGCTGCCATGGTGAAGATCCGTGCGAAGAAGTTTCAAGCACCGCGCTGAAACGCTTCCACAAAACGCCACAAAAGGCAACCCATTCAAAAATAAAATATAAAAACACACACACACACAAAGTATGTATCTGTAAATATATATATATATATATATATACATATATATATATATATATATATATATATAGACACACGTCAAAATGCAAACGAACACATCGACATCATAAGATGCCGCGCCTGCCACGGTTTTAAAAGATACCACTGTGGATGCCACGCAAGAAACATCTCAAAACATACGTTTTTGGTTGGCGTTCGCGTCTGCAACAAGACGTCGCGTGCCTGCTGCACCCGCTTGCATTAAATTAACACTCACAACTTCCTCGGGTTTGTGTCGCTACACAAGACGCGTATGACGTCCTCATGTACTCAAAGACCTCCGCGTCCTTGTCTTTACAAGGAGAAATGCTCCTGCATGATTCCTGTTTTTTGACACTGTGTCTCGATTTCTTGTTCTAGCAGCTCTAGCAACGTACAAAGCGCAAATTCCTCGAGTTTTTGCTGCTTCCTGACAAAACTCCGTTCATGAGGAGACCGAACAAGACACACTGCATTGGCATCTTCGTGGCTTCAAAATACTCTTGCTGGCACGTGCGCCGCAGCCATTTTTCGAGCTTTAGCGCGTTTTGAAACAGAAACGTGTCATTTCCGCACCCAGAAAAATCAACAACCATGTGGTGTTTGTACGGGTATCTACAGTACAAAGCGCTTGCCCGTGCTGCCGGACGAGCCAGGGCGTTATATATTACTAGGCCCAGATATACCTGATTGCGATTTCCCAGTCCGGAGTTTCGGCTAGCGGATGCTTAAATCTCTGACAGAATGGAGGGAAATTGGGGTGGTGCTTTGCGCTCGACCCCTTGAACTCCAACCACATCGATGTCAGTGCATCCCTGCCAAGCCCCCGACAGGACATTATCGTACATGCTCTTGGAGTTTCGGTCTTAGGTAAGTCAGGATTACAACATGCACGCTGCTTCTTGCTCTCACCTGACCCTGAGAAGGGCCGTGAGTCAATAGTACCCGGGCTTCCTGTGTTGTTGCCAGACTTGGAACTTTACTCTCGCAGTGACACCATGAGGCCCACATCCCACAAGCTTCATCAACGCGACAAACTCGTGTTTTAAAGCTGGTTTTCGATGGTTGGTATCCTGTCACCCCACCATAGCTTGACAGGCCCAGTCGGATGGTATCTTTACCATGGCCATGAAACCCTTCAACGAGATTTTGTATCTTTGGCCGCATCTTCCCCAAGAACCTAACCAAGCCAAGGAGCCAACTGCCGAAACTTCCTTAAGGTCTCATCACTGGCTGTTCCCAACGCTTGCCTGGGTGTTGCAGCAGCCAAAGTATGAAGGGTTTGCGTTCAATCCTGAATAACATCAGCTCTTTAAACTACAAAAGAATTTCAGGTAGACTACTATCTTACTATCAGGACTGTTGCTACTGTCAATCATGTCTTGCTGAATTTACCGCAAGCTGCCATTCTCCACCCTCAATGTCCATCTTCATCCTCGGGCCGGTGAGGGGCTGGGACTGTCCAGGCGTTGGGTTTGAGACCACTCCGAGGTGAGAGGTGAGGAAGTTTCGAGCCCGGTTCGGGTCCGAGAGGATCTGGACGTTGGGGCTTCGCACTTTCTTACCAGGACTGCCACACACTGTACATATCCAACACACACAACCACACACAGACAAAAAAACAAGACGCAGAGGACTCACACCCATCTACACACCCCCGTTGGCTGAACATCCAGAAACTAGAACTCAGTCATGGCCACAGCAGCAGAGAGAAAAACAGAAAGAGAGAGAAGCAGAGACAGAGACAGAGAGAGAGAGAGACAGAGAGAGAGAGAGAGAGAGGGAGAGAGAGAGAAGGAAGAGAGAGAGAGAGAGAGAAGAGAGAGAGAGAGAGAGAGAGACGCACACTTTGATCTCGCACGCACGCCCTTACGACGTGCACGGATGACTTGAGGTCTACAGCCGGCTTTTGGGGAGCTTGGGGTGCAGGCCTTCCGGCCTCCGAAGTCGTCCCTAGGAAGGAGTACAAGCAGAAAACTGAAAAATGCCTACGAAGCCTGAGCCGCTCAAGCTTTAAGCCTGTTAAAAGCCCGGAACGAAAAGACAAAACCTACTTCGGGATCCGAGCGTCAGCAGGGAGCGATCTGGGGTATCGGCCTTGGAGGTCTTTGTCAGGACCTGATGCTTTGGAGCTTTGAGGCTTTCTAGGGTCTGCCGGGATGCAGCACTCATAGAGTCATAGAAGAGCTTACTGGCTTCCGTGCTTTGGGACTTCGGACAGGAGGCATTGGAGCTTTGGGAGCATTAGGGTTTCAGCCTCGAGGCTCCAGGATTTTAGGCGTTTTTCCTGCGGGCTTTAGGGTCTTTACTTACCTTTGGTTAGTAGGGAATGGAAGACTGGTAGCAACAGTAGTTATAATGGTACCCCATTCCTCCATTCCCTACTAACCAAAGGTAAGTTTATGGCTTCGGAAATCTGATGCTTTGGGCCTCAGCTCCCGCTCAAGTCTCCTTCGCCTCCCTGGGCTACAGGCCCCGAGCCTGAGATTGTCTTTGCCTGCTACTCGGTCTTGGTCTTTGAGGAGGTTTATGGCTCCAGAGTTAAAGAGCTACCACAGTAAGGAAAGCCCCTAATCATGAATGATAGGTGTATATATGCCGTGTGATCATAAAAATTCAGCTCCTTCACATGAACCCAGCAGACGGTCAACCACGAAAATAGTGGCTGCTTGGCGACCTGCTGCAGGGTGAGGTTCCTTACTTTCGCCGACATCGAGGGAAAGACTTTTGGGGTGCTTGGCATTATATAAGGGCCTTTAGTGGTGGTAGCCGGCGCATAGGGCGCCCCGTGACTTCATGCGTTTTTAGTGTTTTTAGTGCACAAATCAAGGGTTTTTGCTGCTGTTCAGGACTAAGGTCAAGGGTTTTTGCTGCTCTTCAGGACTGTTCAGGACTAAGGGGGTGGGGGGGGGCGGGGGTGTCAGGGGGGGCCGTCGCATATCCTCTCGAGCGGGCAGTTGCAAGCCGGCCATGGCACTTTCCTGTAACGATGATGATTATGTTATTGATCATTATGATGATGACTAATATTATGGTAAAAAGTGATGATAATAATACTAATGACTGTGAAAATGATGTTGTCAGAGACAATGATGACGGCCGCCATGATGATGAAGTAACGATGATGCTTATGATCTTGATGATTATGATGATGACGAAAAGGATGAACATGATGATAAAACTACCAATGACGGTGAAACTGATGTGTTTAAAGACAATGTTTGGCGTGATTAAGTTTATAATGATGCTGATGTTGCTGATAAAGACGATGATGATGCTGATGATGCTGCAGATGGCACTGCTAACCTTAAAAGTGCAACTAGTTTCGGTGATGTCCTACAAACCTGTTTTTTGTAGATATCATGCTGAAACCCCAGTCTCGCGCACATTCTAGGTACGAACGCAGCGGGGCATCCCTAATAATTGGAGTAGAGTTTGGGCATATGCCATATTACATCTTCAACTGCAAGAGACCTTAAACCACTGCATCTGAAACCTAAACCAGCTGGAAAGGAATCCCGATTCAATTCGAAATAGGAGAAGGCTCATGGGATCTTCAGCACCATCACCGTCCTCGCCCTTGAGACAAGATTTGTAGAAGCTGCAGCTGTCGCAGTCCTGAACTTTTGGATCCTAAACCCTCAAGCCTACACATTAAATTCTATAAACCCAAACCCTCAAACTCAAATCCCAAAGCCTCAACCACAAACCTAAGTGGATTGTTCCATGTTGGACGATCTTGAGAGATCGTTGGTCTTTGAAGTCGGAAGGTTTAGGAACTGTACGATTTGGGGGGGAGGGTGGTTACGGCGTTTAAGGATCTCCAGGTTTCAGTTTAGAGTTTCGGGCTTAAGGAGCTTATAAGTTCAGGCTTAGTGGTTTAGGGGAGAATCCTTGAAGGGGTTCTCGGGCTTCCGCAGTCCTGGGCAGCCTTATCCACGGTGCAATCGTACTGGAAAACAGGCACGTCATAGTTCGTGTAGATATCTTTAGACCAACGGTCGTGATCGTCGATGCCCATGGAATATGCTGCCTGGATATCCCCTTTCGCCAAGTGGTCCATGCAGATCAAATACCCGCCATCGAGGTGCTCACCAAAGCCTGGCTGACTTTACGGTCTTGGCGTTTCAGATCGGCTTCTGCATAATTTTGGGGCCCTGACATTTAGAAAAGGGTGTTGGGGTGTGCTATACCGGCAACACCCTAAAATGTTCTTGGTATCCATTTAAACTTCTAACCTAGAGTATGTGAACTAGGCTTTAGGAGCTTCAGGGTTCAGCGTCAGCAGAGTCTGCTTTGACCGAGGAACGGCGGAAGTCCTTGCAGGAGCAGCAGATGCGGAAGGAGTTCAGAAGATCCTTTGCGATGCCTGGTTCCATGGAGTCGGCGAGCGCTGCGATCTTTGTGGACAAAGCCATTCCATGTAGGTCACTGAATTGACGGCTGGCGTCATCTCTGAAAACAGACCTCTGCAGCAGAGTTCTCGAAGTTGGGAGGGTGCGGGTTTGGGGGGGTCTCGGGTTGACGGCTGCAAAGCCTCCTGCCGCTGAAACTTGTCTCTTGATTCTTTACTACCTTTCTGGCTTCTGCGGTATCTAGCACCGACTCTCAAGGACCGATTTCTCGGGCCTCTGCTTCTGCAGCAAGCAGTCAGCGGACGGGCTTCCCCCGAAACCCAAGCCCAGCTTGGAGCCCAGGCCCAGGAATGCCAGGCCAAAGAGTACACGCCGAGCCATGGCCAAGGGGAAGTCACAGCATTCGGTAAGCAGGGGCAAAGTGTCTCGAGATAAACTCGCTCGAAATCGGACGAGTGGTCAAAAGACTCGACTGATCCGCTCTTACCGTTTCATGCAGTGTCTGCAGGCCCCAGGCTTGAGTGGGTGTCCTGCCTCGACGATGCACTGCGCCGCGATGGCCACACGGAAGTTCAGCATAACCTCCAAAAAACCTTGCCCTGAAAACTAGGGTTCCGCGGTACACGTTGCAGCTTCAGGGCTTGAGTGTTTGAGGTTTGGTTTTGGCGGGAAGGCTCTATTGCTTCGAGGTTTGAGGACGGTCCCGAACCTATCAACTCAAAACCTCGCTGCCTTTGAATCAACTCACGTGGACATCATGTCGGGGCCTTAAGAAAAAGGCTAGGGCTTTGAAGAGGACCATGGTGCAGTTACATATGTAAATGAAAAGGCTATATCCGACTATATCCTTCCTGTTCCTGTTCCGACTACGTCACAACGGCTCTTCCAAGGAGGAGCAGAAGTTGCGGGGTTGGCTGGCTCCATGTTTTGCTCTTCGTGGGGCCCTGGGCTTCTTTTCGACTTCTCTTCGGAGTCCTGGGCCGATAGAAACACCCCTAAACCACCCAGTCGGAAAACATCTGAAACCGTCTGTCGAAGTTGAAATCTCCGGAGCTCTTCTCCCCAGCCTCGCTGAAGGGGTTCCGCACCGTGGAAACCTGAAGCTTCGAACATGGAAGCGTAAAGGGCATTCTTGAGGAAGTTCAGCGAACCGACACGAGCGTATTGTTCAAGGAGCTACTAAGCTCATTGAGTTGCTTGGTCGGTTGGGATCCTAGGTTTAGGGCCACATACATACATCTGAACCTGCTTGATCCAATGAAGCAACTGTTCAACAAGCTGGCTCAATTCAACTGATTCGTACATGGTTCGCTCGATCAGGCTTATAGGCTCTATATTTATAGGTTTACTCAGGCGGGTTCGTTTAAGTGAGTCTGGAACTATGCATGAAAGCTGTGCAAGCCATCTTGAACAAGAGCTTCGTTTTCAGCAAGCTTAGCTGACCAAAAAAGCTCAGCAGAGATCGCAAAAACTGTTTCGACGAAGTTGCTTCTGCAAGTTAAGAAGCTTCAATGCACAGTGATACTAAAGCAAAGGGATAAAGCAGTGTGATCAACAAGGAACTAGATTTAGTAGGAATACTGGCCATAGACTGGAGGTATTAAGACTGAACCAGTTCAATGTGGTATATCAAAGACGACAACTAGACAATGTTCGAAATACATCTGCCAGGTAAGAATCAGCCAGAACTATGCGCCGGCCGGCATCCATGTGGAGAGTCTCCAGCGACTGCGGCTGGGACTGGCCCACGTAATGGAAGTAGTAATCCTGGCTCCGAAAGGCTCCCGGCAGTTGGGTAGAAGCTTTAATTCATGCTGGGGTTTCATATACGTGTAGAGTGGAGCTACGGTTTAGGGTTAGCTCTCTTTCGAGCAGTCTTCGTAGGTGGTCCAGAATCTTTCAGTGTCGCCCTAGTCACTTCAAGGTGAGACAACATCTGCGACCTGAATGTGCGAAGTCTTTCCACCAACAACCGACAACTGGCAGGAGAGGAAGCTGCAGGCAAGCGGGCAAACAACAAGATGCTTGCTCGTGAAAGCATCGTGCATCCCAGAGGCGCCACACAAGTAACGAATGTAATCCGGTTTGGAACCTCACGGCACGAGCGACAATGATGGACTCCCCGACTTCCCTCTGGGTTCTCGGAGATCTCTGAAGCCCTGAAACTCCCACGAAACGGGCACGTAAGGACCCCGTAAGGACCCCGAAGTAACCACGCGAAGGAACCAGCGGACCCTGGTGTTTGCAGCTGTGCGACGTAGGTGTTCCTCCCAAAAGGTAGCAGCTCTGAGCTGAAAACCTGATAGTTCCTGGGCATCGGATGCTTTAGAGCACGCCAAGGCCAAGGCCTGAAGGTTTGACGGTGGAGCTTTCAGGATCGTTTTTGGTTCCTTAGGCGTGCAGTTCAGCTTATCTCGGCCGATAGGTGTAGCAGCCACTGTCTATTCCGAACCATGACACAAATGGCCGATGCCCATCCAGCGACCCTACTTACCGGAGCTTACTTCTCCAGAAGTTTGCGCTGCCTGAGCCACGAATCTTCGGAACCTCTCATCAAGCTAAGCCCTAAATCCTGATACTCGAAAGTCCTAAACCCCTGAACCCCTAAAACCCTTGAAAGCGTGAAGTCCTCAAACCCTGAAGCTCTTGTGATTAATTGCCCTGAAGCCTGAAGCCCAAAACCCCCCCAAATCCCTGAAACCCTCAAACTCCAAAACCACGTCCGAGAAGCTGCAGCGCGCTCGCGCCAAAGTCGCCCAGAAGCTCGGCCTCGGCTCCGGGTTTAGGTTTATTCGGGGTCATGGGCGGGCCAGCTTTAGGGTTTGGGGCTTCAGGGTTTAGGGCTGTGGGCTTTGGGAACCTCAGGGTTTGGGGCTTTGAGGCTTTGGTTCAAGGCTTTACGGAGGTTAAGGCTTCCGGGCTTGGCAGGTAGCTGGCAGGTGTTTAGGGAGTAGGCTGCACCGGCTCGATGTGTTCGTGGGTTTCGAGGGAATCGTAAACACCGTTGAAGCTGCAGGATTGACTTGAACAAGACTGTGATGGTCATGATTCTCGTTCTCAGGTTGAGCGCTCTAACTCTTAAGGTAAAGCTTGTGGCTTAGCAGAATTGGGGTTCGGCTTACGCAGCCCGAGGAAATCGCACCGCGCTACAGTAACTGGCAATTTGCCTGTGAAGCCCCAGCTAAGTCGAGACTTTGCGACCCCAAAACCTTGCTTTGATTGTTCCGGCCACTATGTTGTCCTACCCTGCTCCCCGTGCAGCGCATGCCTGCGAGAGGTAGGTGAGCAGCATGGCGTGGATTTGGTAAAACCTGGAGATGTTGCGGCGTTCTTCGGGCTCGTTTGGTGTTTGCGGTTTGGGGTTTCCGCAGTAGGGCTCCAGGAGGAAAGTCCTGGGTCCTCCAGGTGTGTAGACTAGGAAGTTGCGGAATCTGAGTTTGTGTTTGAGGCGGAGCCTTCCGGCGAGGGCTGCCTCGATGCTGCATTTGTTTGCTCGCTCTTTCGTTCGCCGAAGCTTGCTGGTTGTTGGGTGAAGGCATAGAATCTAGTCAGAGCTGAGGTATTACCGGCACGGGGATAAACCTCCAGCCCCGCTACTGGCTTGTTCTGTTGCTGGCCAAGGCACTTGCGAGCGTTCTTCCTCTTTGTCTGAGCATAGATGTGCGCGGCATTGATGCGATTCCTTTCGGGTTGGCTGTGCCTTTCAAGGACTACAGGTGAGGCTCCACCTCGTACAGTAAGGCTTGTAGGGTTTGTGGTTTGGGCTGTCTCAAAGGTTGTTTGTCTTAGGCCTTCCTAGCCGAGCTTCATGGGTGCTGTGCCTGCAGTTCTCTGAGAACCACTGAGGTTCTTTGACAAAAAGCTTTGCACCCGGTCTCAGGTCTCTGGTCTGTCTCACACATGTTGATCTTCTGCTTTGGGACTTCTTTCTGTGGTCAGCAGTCTACTTACAGTTCACAGTTTCCACATCGCCGAGATGACTCATCGTGGCTGCCTCCGTCTCACTCTCTCACTCTCTCTCTCTCTCTCTCTCTCTCTCTCTCTCTCTCTGTCTTCCCACATGCCTCGACCCAGGATGCTTAGCCCTCATGACAGCAGTCAGCTCAAATGCCAGAGGTGCTGCAGGACCTTCAGCCCCCTAAACCCGCTTGCTAAACCCCTCCCAACCAAAAAAACCCTTTCGGACAGGCCCAAGGGTCCAGTCACGGAATCCCCAGGCATAGACCATGGGCCGGGGCGCCAGGTTGAGCAAGCTGCCCTGATTCAGGGTCTGAGGGCTTCGGGCCTGAAAGGCTTCAGAGGCTTAAGGGCTTAAGATGGCTTAGGTTGAAAGTTCCCGAAAACCACATAAAAAAAGCTGAAATCCCGCCACTTTGTCATCCCGACAATTTAAGATTCCGGATTTGGCATGTTGAGGTTGTAGTGTTAGAAATCCTGGGGCAGCAGGGCCAAGCCCTGCACCCCTTGGCCTCAAGCCGTAAGTCCCGAAACTCTAAACCCTAAACCCCAAGCTCTCGACCCCAAACCCTTAAGCCCTCAACTCAGACTCAGCTCTATCATGCATCATATGCATCTTTGCGCAAGGCCTCGAGCCAGGTAGCACCGCCCTCCATCATCACGGTGGTGCTGGTTCCGAAACCTGCACTGGGCAAAAAGTCCAGCTGGAGGCTCTGTAGGGCTTCGGGAAGCCGATTACGGTGCAGGGTTTCGGGGGCTCGAGACGCCGAGGGCGAATGGTTTGGTAGCAGTGGCTTGCCTACAAAGCAAAGCAACTGACAGGTAAACCAGCAGGACAGACCAAAAGAGTGCTTCCTGACTTGTGGCACTCACTTGACGCCCGGTTTGCAGAGCCTCTCCAGTGAATCACCCTGAGCGGCACAGAGCACCGTGGAACCACCCGCAGCAAGCACAAACAGCCACACACCTATGCCCGAACTGCAAAATCGAAGCGGCATGAGATCAAACGTCGCTCGCTTGTTCTAGTTGCAGACCCCTGCACCGTGAAATCCGCTTGGGCACCCCAAAAGCACTGAACGGAGAGACAGTTTCTGGATTCTGCAGCTCTAAACTCTCAAGCTGCCAAACTCCCAAACCGCTGGCCCCTAAACGCTCAAACCATGCAACGCAAAGCCTCAAATCACTAAGCCCACACTGGGAACCTCCCTGAATGACATGCGCGAGCTCATGCGCGAAGGTGTTCCTCGGCGAGTCACCGACTTGCATGGTTCAGGCTCTTGGGGTGCGGGGTCTGTAGCGTGGGCTACGGAAGATCCCGTTATGCAACTGGCGGAAGCAATTGGGAGAGTGAACGAATGTTAGGACAAAGGAACAGTTTACTTACTGAGGTTTATGCGGCCTGTCAGGTCCTTGGATCTCTCTAAGAGATGCGAAGGTATCGAAAGCAGGCCAGAGCAGCTTCTTTCTGTCCTGGCAGTTAACTTTCACGATTAGCTTCGCCAGCGAGCCCACCAAAAACCCCTACCGAGCTTCGTCAGACGTCACCACTTCTAGGGTCCTTGAAGCAAGCACAACGTCCCAAGACAAGTGCAGATTTTGCTTAAAATCCCAACTTCATGCAGTCCCAAGAGGCGCGACGTGGTAAGGGTTCGGATTCCTGCGAAGGCTGGGACTCAGTCAGTTGGATGAAGGTCCGGCAAAATGTGATATCTTCCGGGGGTCTGTCTGCGATCTGTCTGAGAACCATAAACATTGAAATGAACTTGAACCTCGTTGTGTAATCCCCTGACCGCTTGGTTGGGAAGTGTTCGGTGCTCCGCTTATGGGTGGCGGCCTCACAGGGGCGCAGGGATTTGGGCAGGCAACAAAGGTCTCGGGTGAAGACCCCTCCGGGCTTCTGGGCGAGGAGCTCTGCTTGCAAATAACACGGATCCAGGGCCCCTACACGTCCACGAGCTCTTGGCACAGGTAGAAGATAATGTCGGCGTTGGTACTGGACTTGTTGTTGACGGGCCCGGGAAAGTTCACCAAGAAGTCATCTTGGCATGTGATCGCTTTGGGGGTCGGCTGCACATCAGGCATTGTCAAAGTAGACACCTTGAACTACGGACCACACCTGACCATCACATCTCGCCCTCGACAACCACCTCTACGAACAAACAGCTTAGGGGTTGAGGGGTGCTGATTAGGGTTCAGGGTTGAGGGGGCTGCTCGGAAAGAAAACTGAAGCTGAAAAAGTAAGCTGGTTACGGTATTTTGGGCTGAGATTTTGAGAATAGGACTTCGGGAGTGTGGTTTTACGGAATTTTGGGGCTAAGATTTTGGGCTTGATCTTTGGCATATGGGTATAACCAGGATTTGGGATTTTGGTTGTCGGGAGTTTTGGCTTGATATTTGGGCGCCGAGTTGGGCTGACGGCTTACTTAGTGGATTGGGGCAAGGTGTTGTGCAAGTCCCTCACCCCAGCACCAGCACCGCGCCACTGACTCCAACACATAAGTTCACAAACCTCGCCTTACTGCAAATCTGGCGCACTGACACACTGATACATTGGACATTTTCCACGTGTCGGTTACGAAATCACTGGTATTTACGGTGTTTCTGCTTATGGGGCTCACAATGCTATATGGTTTAGTGTGTATGAACATCTGGCCTTGTTCATAAGCAAATGAATTGTTCACAAACACAGGGGCTACTTATGTGGAACATGGTGCATATGAATATGGCGCATATGTGCGTATGCCTGTCTTCCCGTGTAACCACAAGTGTTGTTGCTACATAGTTCAGAGGTCAAATCTCCGCCACCTCCTTTATAACCTTGTAGGACCAGAGCGAAATGAAGTGATTGATTATTATCGATGCAAACAAAACTTCTGATACAGATACTTGCGGACATGGAGGCCATGTAACAAGATGATGCAAAGGCCTAGACCATAAGGGCCTGTGGAGCTTTATCATTCCCCAAGCGAGGCTTCAGCGGCAGCAACCCACAAAACCAGATGTCGGGATTCATACTGATCCAGATGCTTTCCATTTTGGATTGTAGGCTGTGGGTAACAAAAGCTGTAGTACTTATAGCAGCCAGCAGGACATGAGCATGCGCAAACAGGATTTGAGTCACCTATGGCAAGTCGCACACTTGCTAACCACAGGCAACGTTTTATTCCTTGACTGCTTGACAGTCACTCATGCTCATACATATATCGAACTCACTCATATTTGTTGACCTGCGATAACAAAGCACTGACTTAAACACACATTTCGAATCCTATGCACTTCGCCAAAGAAGTACGCTAATTCAGTACGCACATGTTGTCCGACAACGGTACATGCCATGCCAAGGCAGATGACGCTTTGAGTTCTGGTGTTGAGTGGATGGGCCTGATAGCCTGATATGATGAAAAAGTCTTGCATGTAGGATAAGGTCAACGGCTCCGTGAGGGACGTGTCGAGTCTATGCGGCCTACCCCAAGACTTGGTTTGAGAAAGTACGGAATACACGGCATTTACGGTGTTTCCTGCCTGTGATAGTTGCGTGGGAAGTCAATACTACGGCGTAGTACCTGTTGACGTCTATGCACAGGCTAAACCTTGCGTTGAATGCATTACTCTGGAATAGAACTGTACGGTACTTGGTGGTGTAATTCTGCGTGTACTTTTCGAGTGTTTAAAGTTGTTAGAATGTAAACAGGACACGAAAAGTCGAATTTCAACAACCCCTGGCCCCACCGCAACCTGCTCGTCTTCCTCTTTGTTTATGCCGGCCCTAACCCGTGGGATTGCGGCAGGGCACGGGCCATCACGAATGCATTGTCGAAGCCACAGCGCCTGGGAAGCTGGGAATCTAATTCGTGGACCTTAGAAACAGGACTACGGTTTTGCAATGTACTATCGTCGAATTACAAAGGGGCTGCATCTTCCTGTTTGCCCTGCTTTTGTCTGTCATTGTTGCCATTCGGCCTGCCCACTCTTTGGTTTCACAGGTTTTCCGGTGCATCTGCGACTGAAACCCTCAAAGCCTGGGAAACCCTTCTAAAAAACCTCATCGTAACCCTTCATAGGCGCCTTCACTGTCGCCCTTACAGGAGCTTGTTGCATAGGCACCTTTAAAGGAATCCTGAAATACCCTAAAACCGCGAAGCCCGACTCTCATGGAGGCGAGCAGCTGCAGCAAGACGTTGATTCGATTGGAGCCTCGAAGACGCGAGGCATGGGTCGCCCCAAAGCCGCAAAGAAAGTCTTCTAGCAAGGCTCTACGCGGGTTCTGCGGGAGAACTGCAGGATTCGTAGCAGGTCCAAAGCCTGTTCTGTAAGGCTTCTAGGATCTTCTGGGGGTCATAAGGGCTTGCGGGCTTTGGGGCCTTGGGGATTTCAGGGTTTGGGCTTTGAAGGCTGAGGTCTGAGGTTTTGGGGGCTCAATGTCGGGTCTTGGAGTTTGGGAGTTTGCGGTTTGCGGGTGGGGAAGTCAGGGCTTTCAGGCTTTGATTCTGAACAATTCGACTTCCGAGTTTTGGGCTTCAGGGTTCAAGTGTTGCTTCCAGGGATTGGGGTTCTGAGTCCAAGACGCAGAGGACCGAGACTTCAACTTGGGCACTCCGGGACCAACTGAAAGTCCAAGCAGCAGGTGTACATGAACGGCATCTCTCCCATCACCTCGAAGTCGGAAGCTCTTTGGCCAAGAAAGCTTCACTTGCAACGGTCTAGCTGGTCTAGCTGCCAAGCCATCGTGGTAGCTCAGAGGTCCCCTCCTCAACTCTTCATTCACAGAAGCCCGACCGACTCGAGGACACGGAATTCCGGGAAGCGAAGCTTCGAAAGATTCAGGGCCTTGGAGGCCTGCGACAAAGCGTGGGGGCCCAAAGCTCTCATAGATCTAAGGTCCTGGCAGCTTTTTGGGTTCTCTTAGGTCTGAGGATACGGTTCCTAGCGGGCTACCCGAGGGTTCTTATGCGGCTACCCTAAACCCCAAACCCTAAACCCTAAACCTCAGAAAGGGCCATCCCCGAGCCGGCACGGGCCTTGCATTCGTGCTCCATCCAGCTGGCGCTCCCAGCTGCTGGCTTCCTCAGGCTGGGGTCTTAAGAAACCCCTCCCTTATCCCTTAACGCTGAATCCGTTCTGCTGTGGTGGTGGTGCTGGTGGTGGTGGTGGGGTTTCAGGGACTTCTGCGCCAGATGCACAGTGAAGCTTCAGTCAGGAAAAAGCACATGTGCTCGCCGTGCGTCAGCTCGTCCACATTGTGGACATTGGCATAGATTTCTGCCGCCTCTGCCGCTCAAGAGGAACGCAGACGACGACGTGTCCACGGTTGCATAGACAATGCATAGGTTTGGGAGCTATGGCGTACGACTAAGACAACATCTGAGGGAAAGGATATTCACCTGTCGTTCGGCTCCAGGTTATCCTCAGCTGTCAACCCATATTCATGAACCTAAACCACTCGAACCTGCCTGACCAATGCGTCCAGTGCCAACATTACACGAAAACTTCGACGTCTTGAGATTGCGACTTTGATGTCACTCGTGATGCTCGTTGGCTAGTGCACCGATCACTAGCAACTTCGAAGCACTTACGTTTGGCATCTCCTTTACACTCCGAACTCCAGACGTGCAACAGCACAGTTCTGGTGATCGCGGGAAAATCAAAACCTTCTTGATTCCGGAAGAGTTTCGAGTCGTCTTCCGACCGCGAGGGCTCAGCGTCGCTCAACGTTGCGTGTTGGGCCCAAGGCTTTAGCTGCCCTCAAGTGGGATCCATGATCGTGGGCCACGGTCAGCAACCGCGCCTTCACAGCGACATCGCGCTGAAGATCGGTGGATCCCTCCTCAACAGACCACAGAGGGAGAGCACGGTTTAGGGAACGGGCCACCTCGGTGAAAAGACGAGAGATCAAGGACCCAGGAGAATCTGCCTCATACCTTCCTTAGCAGATGCCTGAAATTCAATGCTCGATGACCTCTCGGTTTGGTATGGCTCACAAGTCCAAGGTCCTCGGCCCATACGTTGATGTGCGCGGCCACCAGATCCTGGAAAAACACGAAAAAGGGAAGTTTCGACCAGAACACGGCCCCCTGAAACCCAGGCCCAGTCGGCTCAGGGTAGATAGCCTTATGTGACCATCAGTGTCTGATTTTCAACACACACACACACACACACACACACCCTGCAAAAGGATGAAAGGAGTGTGTCAAGCAAGTCTGTGTCCACGGAGTTCGGAGTTGTGATATTGGAAACTGGGGCTGCGCTTAAGCGTTTTGGAGTCGGCAAGCTCTGTTCCCAGGAGATCCGACACTACAACTGTTCCACCCAGAGCGGCAAAGCCATGCCTCGAGCGTGAACTCGCTGCGCCTGCCCATGCCTCGCAAGGCCACTGTGCGCAGGGGTCATGGGCCCTTTCCTTGCAGACCCGGAAACCCTGAAACTGCCTGCAACCCTTGAACCCTCAATCACCTGTCAAAGCTCCCAAATCCTCAAAGCACAAAGCCCCAAAGAAAACACCCTGGAGCCCCGAATGCCCCAAAGCCCTCAAGACCTTGAGAGTCGAAACCTTGAAGCCCAGAACTCGAAACGTAAGACCTAGTCCGACCCAGGCGAAGGAAACCCAAAGCCCCAAGAGACAGCGCCGAAAACCCAAAGATGCTGTGGCTCTGTCTTGGCCCTGAATTTTGGGCCACCCGGCCTACGTTCAGGTAGGCCCTCTTCTGTCCCACCTGTCCGAAGATGTGAAGCTGAACGAGCAGGGACCATGCTGTTGGCGGCACTGTCACTAGCCGTGACTAGCGTGACTAGCGTTGCGAGGTCCAGCCTGAAAGAGAGAAGACGATGCATCGCCACCAAACAATTCACCCAAAACACCAACAAAGATTGTGAAAACCGCTGCTTGCCCCGAGTTCACGTGCATTCTTTCCTCGCACGTAAGACCCTCCTTATGCCCTCGTTTACAAATATTCCGAAGCGCACCGCAAGGTCGTACAGATTTTCATGACCGAACATCTTCTCGCCAACACAGGGCATCGAGTTAGAAATCACCGGCTCCCCAAATCTGATGCAACGAATGTTCATCATATTCCGGGAATTGGACCCTTCAACACCGAACTCCTGCTCCGAAATGAATGAGAAACTAGCCCAAATAACAGGCAATCATCAACACCCGAACCATGAAGAAAGGGTGCCCAAGAACGGTAACACGCACTCCCAATGATCAATCAACCTCAAAATCATTTCTCTGAGTACGGTCCAGTAAACTTTCAACTTCAACCTCCTTACCTAAATGCTACAACCTCGAACTTACATGATGGAACTCCGAGACGTGGTCTTCATGATTCGACCCTGACTTTGAGCCCCCAAGCCTCCGGATAAGTTCGCTGCCATCCCCCGCAGCGACCGGAGTCCTGGATCCTTTGCTAGGCCCAGGCCGCACAAAGGCGGCTCAGAACTTACTGAGCGCTGGGGGGATTTGGGGTGTGGGTTTAGGGCTTTGGGTAGTTCTTTGGGGGCTGAGCCCGATGGCCAATCTGAACTCCGATTTTCGGCCAAGGAGCATGGATGTGAAGCCCGCAAAGCAAGGATGCTCGCCTCAAGGGGAGTGGGGACATTAGGGTTTCTAGGCGCATATGCATAAATATAAGAATGAGTATGAATAGAGAGAGAGAGAGAGAGAGAGAGAGAGAGAGAGAGAGAGAGAGAGAGTGCGGCGTGTAAGGTCTCTGAAGGGTAGGCTTTATGTCTCAGGGCTTTAGGACTCTATGGCTTTGAGGCTTTGGGGGAGATCGAGTCTGGATAGAGACCAGAGTCGAGGTACTGTGTTTCGATAGCGTGCAAGACAGGACGAGCATGGTGAAGACTTAGGATTACTGTCGATCTACTGCCTCTTCAGAGGCTATGGCCAGTTTGGGACTTGCCCCATGCTTTCGACGTGGCAAGAAACCTGCGGTTTTGTCCTACCTTTGCAATCCACTTTGGCTCTGCAATCGGAGTCTGTAGTTTTTGATTCTAAAGCTACCGGAGAGTGCCCGGCCACGAACCCTCTGCACAAGAAGCTCCAAGGAAGCTTCATCAGCCCTCCTGGAACCGTAACCCCAACAACCCTGAAACACCAAAATCTGAAGCTGAAACACCCAAACCCTTGAAATGAAACCATGCAGCCCTAAACACGACAAACCTAAACCGTGAACCCTCCTGACAGAGACCCTCTTCGGGCGAGCACCAACAGCCGGCTTCAGCTGGAAGCGGCGCTGCCTGGAACAGTCGGAATTCACGCAAGGAGTACACGGTTTGGTGCATGGGGGTTCCAGTGCAGGACTTGCGGGTCATCGCACTTGAGTTTGCTTGTTGCCGCTGGCCGCTCTTTCCCCGAGCTTGGGGCTGAACCCGGACTACCGGATTTCCCCAGACACCCAATCCAACCAAGCGAGATCCCGTCTTGCTCCAACTTCCCGGAGCTGCAAGACCAGTGCCTCCATTTCGGCCGCGACCAAAGCGCGTCCAGACGATCCCTGAGCCACAGTAGCGGGCAGCTTTAAGAACTAGAAAAAGAAATCCTAAGCTGAGTTCCCTTTTGCTGCTTTGGTCTTCTGAGCTACAGAGGCCTCTGATGTAGTGACGCCGTGAGGAGAGCCAGGCAGCTAGAGACGGGTTTCAGGCCACCCTGTTTCCTACGGAAGCGGCTCCAAACCCAATCTCAAACCGCTCCAAAGCCACGTACTTGCTCCCCCTCCCCAGGAAATACATGAGTCGTAACCCACATCGCAACCATTAGCATCATCATGCATGTGGCAGTCTTGATACCAAAATTATTGTCCTAAGACTACTACAGAAACAAGAACACTGAGAGTAGTACAAACTAACAACAACAATGATAATGATCATGATTACTATTATGGACATTATAATGCGCGTGGTAATAACAATAGCAGCGGTGATAGAAACAATAACACGAAAACTCTCAGCAAGATTACAATAGCAACAACAGCAATACTGAAACCCATTAGTTTTTGCAGTAGTACTAGTCGTCGTCGTAGCAGTAGTAGTAGTAGTAGTAGTAGTAGTAGTAGTAGTAGTAGTAGTAGTAGTAGTAGTAGTAGTAGTAGTAGTACTAGTACTAGACTAGTACTAGTACTAGTTACTTACTACTACTACTACTACTACTACTACTACTACTACTACTACTACTACTACTACTACAGTACTAGTACTAGTACTAGTACTAGTACAGTACTAGTACTAGTAGTACTAGTACTAGTAGTAATAGTAGTAGTAGTAGTAGTAGTAGTAGTAGTAGTAGTAGTAGTAGTAGTAGTAGTAGTAGTAGTAGTAGTAGTAGTAGTAATAGTAGTACTAGTACTAGTACTAGTAGTAGTAGTAGTAGTAGTAGTAGTAGTAGTAGCAGTAGTAGTAGTAGCAGGCCTAATCATGACCATTACTGGGATCATATAAAAAAATCACACCCAGGGAGTCGTGACAGCTGCCGGGCTTGGTCCCCTGCATCGAAGCCTCGGCTCCCAAGTGTCGTGGTCCAGCGACCTCGGGTCTGCGGATACTTTTTGGGGGGGCGGTGCTATGAAACAGATATGTAGGGACTTATTAACCCTGAAACGAGGTCCCAAACGCTCCTTTTTCGACGCCTCCAGGCTATCCTCCGGACCTGGAGCCTCAGAGCCCCAGATGTCAAGGAAGCTCTTGCAGCTGCCCTCCTTGGGGAACGGGAACCTTGGATGCCGGGCTTGCAGACGCATCAAGGTATCGAACTGTAAGCTTCGGGGCTTCCGTGGTAATCTTCGCAGGTTTTGGCCTTTTGAAAGGATGTCAAAGGAAAGGGTAAGGCCACTGGCAACCTGATGGCTTCTCTTCGCAAGGCCTCCGCCACGTGACCACCGCATAGAGCAGCCAGCCAGGGTGCACGATAGAAAGCCCACCTTCGGGAATTTAGGCTCGTCTTAAGTTGGGTTGACACCTTGGGTTTTAAGTTCAGGTTTCAGGGTTTGGGGTTCAGAGTCTAGGGTCAAACAGCCAACAACTGGAGCTGTTGCAGAGGCCATTGCATTCCACAAGAAGGCGCCGAAGATCCCAAAATTCCTCAATGTAGACTGAAAATATGAGCCTGAAGCTTTAACTTCTCCCATTGGCTCAGAAGACCCCTGGCAGACTTGGTCCCACAACCGGATACTCCCTTCGGATGTGGGGCATTAGGACTGCTTGAGGTTTAGATTCGAAACCACGTCTGGGATAATTGCCTTAAACATTCCGAGAATAAGTCTAGGAGTAAATTTTTTGTTTATTATAGTCATACTACGGAACCCTAAGAAATTGTACGCCTAAGTGTTCAGGTCCCGGTACCAGTTGGTGTACCTCTAACCACCATGCAGTGTTTGACATTGAACTCGTGGAATAGAGAATCAAAGGGTCGACTCAAGCAAAGCAGCGAATGGCTTTAGCCGGTTGCTTGAATATGTAGCTGCAGGTCTACATCCCAGACTCCCCAACCACACGACCAGATCTACAAAACCCTGATCGACAGGTGGCCTCCTTGCTGGAGTGCCAGTGCCTTGAACCACTTCTCCGTTCGTCTTGCCGCCACCACGTGCGTCGCATTCTCCGGAGCTGTCACCAGCTTAGCGCCCAATCCTGGAAGGCTCTTGCGAGAACAAGACTTTGGGGCCATAGTATGCCAAGGACTATAAGTGGATAGTCGCTTGCTAACCATTCAGGCCTCTGTATTGTATGTTCCCACAGCCTCACTGACAGCATCCTGCTTTGATGTCCACAGTCTCTTGAACGTGGCGGTTGACTGCATACTCAGAAAGGCAATGGTTTCGCCTGGTTGATAAGGGGTAACGGGACAGGACATGCAAGAACTACAAATATACTTCTGCTTCTGCGTGTAAAACAATCAGCTTCTCATGGTCCGCTTGCCTATCTGGACTGTCTGTTTGGAATCCCGATGGGAGCTTACTTCGTGCAGTACCTGCCTGGTTACCTGCCTGCCTACCTACCTACCCTGCGACCTGCCTGCATACAGCATACACACAGCCCTAACTAAACCAAGGTGGCCCTGAAGCCCGTACCTACTTACTACGTCACTACAACAGCCAGATGAAGATAGATGAAGTGTCGGCCCAGCGACGCTCGGGCCATTGGAGATCGGAGCGAAAGAAACCGGTGAGGCAGAGGCGGCAACCCTGAAGCGTCCTGCTTCCTGGGTTCGAAAGCAGCGAAAGCCAGAAAGGAGAGACACTAATTGGACCAAGAGGACACCCGGCAAAGAAAAGACAAGAAGCGCAACGACGGCAAAGAGGAGGCGACGCTTCTCCCTTCCGCTCCCGTGGAATCCTCCCCCGCGCTGGGGAGGAAGACCGCCTCAAACAGCACGGGCTTCAAGAGCTCAATTTGCTTAGCTTGAGCTTCTAGGGGTTCAGTGTTTCATGGCTCAGGGCCTGCAGGCTTTACGGGGTCAGCGCTTGGGGGCTGAAGGATTCAAAGCTTCAGGGCTAGGGTTTAGGGGCCGAAAATCTTGAAGGGCCGGAAGAGCTGCAAGAACTGCACCCATCAACCCCCGGCCTCGTGTAAGTCCCGGAGAATGTTCTCCTCGGCTCTCCGGCAATCTTGCAAAGAAAATTGATCAGCACCCGTATGCCGTTCACTTCATAGGGGACACCAAAATCATAAGAGTAAAGAGGTGGTCAAACTTCGCGACCTACTATAGAACCCTTTTGACCCCCTTTCAGCCTTATAAACCTTCTACACGACCTGAAGGAGAATTGCAACCAAGCCTCCAGGTGCTTCAGTTGGAAATCTCTGGCCCTAGAGGGCCAGTGCGACTCGCAGAATGTTGCATCAATCTTCCGGCGCTTTGGCTCCTGAGGGTTTGGGTCTTCATTGTTGCAGATCAGAGTTTAAGGATTCAGGGCTTTACGTGTTCAGTAGCCAAGGCTTAGCGGCTTCAGAACTCAGGTCTGCAAAACTTCATAGGGCCGCAGCTCTAGCACACGATAAGCACACTTTGGGCTTCGGTTACTCCGCGATGTAGTCAGTACCCATCTATTTTTACGCAAATCAGAGAAAACAAGAAATGAAAGAACTGACTGAGTCCAGGTCCCACCCATATCCCTGCTTTCAGGGTTTCAGAACCCCAGGGAAGAAATGCAAGAACACAGGCATGATATTATGATTGTATATAATATTTCCAAATAACCCGAATTGAAGGAACTTGCAAGAGCCTCCCTCGGCAAAGTCCAAGCAAGAAAAGCTTCACTCTGAGGCCCCCGGTCTTGTGAAGCAAAGCACGCTGGCCCTAAACCCGAAACCCTAAACCCCGAATCAAAGCACGAGCTTCACTCGTCAGATGATATGATGCAAGGACGTATAACATAATGCAACAGAACTGAATAGGATAGAATGTTGACCCTCTGATCTCTGAAACACCACTACCAACCAAAGCCAAAACTCGGACCAGGGTAAGGCAGCGGTGGAGGGATCAGCCGCAATTGCACCGGTGAGCTTGCCCTCAAAGTCCAGATGCTGACGGGCATCCCCTTCAAATGGCAGATAGGGGATGACCTCGTCCGGGGTATAGGGCGTAGGGAAGATTGGGGTCTTAGGGCTTTTGGGGTTGATGAGATGTCCTGGAAGTCAAGGCAAACTGCAATGTGATGCGGGGGGGCCTTAGTCGTTTGAGTGCGGTTTGGGGATGCATTATACTTCAGAACGGGAACCCAAAGGAATGGTTTCGGTAACGATTCGGGCTTCTAAACAGCTTTGACGTAATGCCATTCGCCGACTAGCAAAGGTCAATCGTCGATTCCAAGACTCAAAGCCAGGTCGGTCCGTTCGGGGATTTCAAGGGTTCAGGGTACAGTCAGTGATTCAGGTTTACAGCTGTACCGTCTCCCTCTCCTGCCAGCAGCCGCACCGAAGCTTGGACCCTCTCCCCACCTTGAGCAGCTGAGACTCGCGGACAACCACCGGCCAAACCTCCTCGCGGTCATCCACGATCAAGGCAGAAGTTGCATCCTTTGGCAAGATCTGCGACAGGTCCTGCGTATCGCACAGGGGGGTTCAATGGCTCAGATGTTTTCGGAGTTCAGAAAATTCGATGTCTAGATCCATGCGGGGCTCTTTGAGACAGGTCCTTGGAACCTTGTGGCGTGTTCTCTCGGTGAAAGATGCGCGGTGGATCTCCAAAATACCGGCGATCAGGATCCAACATCTCCAGGACCTTCTGTGCATAGGCGCCCGTTGCTTGCGTGTAGACATAAATCTCGCAGGTGTCCCTCGTCGCCTGAAGGAAATCGTCTACGCCGGGCCGCTTCCGAATCTTCATCTTTGATGGAAAACTCCGTATGTCAGCAGTCACCAAGGTGTGATCCAGGTCCATGACAAGTACTAGCTTTCTTTCCGACGACCGGCGGATTTGCTCATCAGCATCCAGACTCGAGAGGAGTGATTCGGACACCTGCAAATCTAAAGATGTTGTGAGAAACCCCGGACGCTGCATGGCCTTGGCCTCTTCCTGTGCAGCTGATACGATGCGATAACACTGGCAGCACATTCCTGCGAACGTTACATCATGAGCACATGCACCGCCATCAGATTCGGCCATGAGGTACAACTGCCAAGTCCAGCCAACCCGAAGCCCCAAGCCCTGATGCTTGCTGGGAGAAGAAAAATGGCAATATCATGCATGCATTTCCTCGTTCTATTTCAATTATTCATGTTACTGCTGTGGTTACCATCCTGATATTCTAGGCTGCTTCTTGCAATCGTACATATGTCTTCTTATAGGTAGGCATGTCATGAACCCGCTATTGCCAGTGTGAGTCGTGATATGTGGTCGGTAATTTTAGCTTACAGCTTCTACCTTTTTGCTGTTTCTACGACTGTCATTCTTGCTGTCTGTGGCCCTTTCTGTCCAAAACAGATGCTCGTGCGTGCGTGGTGTGTACTGACCTTGGCCAGACAGGTGCTCGAAGCCACGAAGGCTGCGGCACAGCATTGCTGAGAGCTTGCGAAGTAACCCAACCTCGAGCAGTCTGCAACAGGACTCGCGGGTCGATGCATGGGCAGATCGACAGGGCGTCCGAGGACAAGATACAGTACTTCTAGAGTCTAGAATGCACAAGACTGATGCGTGGTCGTTCGAGCTGTCGTGAGACTGGCCCCTTTTCGCATCTTCGGCTGCGCGACAGGGTTGCAACTCATCGAACAACGCGAGCTCGGGCCTTCTGGCTCAGGTTGGATCTAGGGCCTGGGATTAGGACGTTCGCTGTCCCAGGGCTGTTCTTCTAGTGCAGGCCCAAGAAAGATGGGAAGCCTTCGTAGCACGGGCTTTGGATGGACTCCGAAATTTCACTTCACCATGAAGCGGCTCTGCAAAGACCAGCTGAGACTTTGGGAGAGTTTGGGAGACCAAAAGTTGCGGAACCCTGGTAAAAATTGCAGCTCTCATGCGTTCGTTCGTTGGTGCTCTGAAACGACGGACTTGAGCAGAAGGCCCGGTGGGAAACTCGAGATTCCCAGGTGGAAGCTCGGGAGTTCATGCGTCGCAATGATCCCCGCTGTACATGGCCCTAACTAGTTGGGTCCTTCTTACGGGAAGCCGTAGAAGCCAGCGGAGGGATGTCCACGGGTGCGCCCCTCCCTGGTTTCAAGCCCTCGAAGGCTCTCGCACTTTAGAGGATTTGGCGTCTTGCTTCCCGGCCACTCAAGGTTCGCGTTCTACAAAACAGTGGGCTTTTGTGTCTGCTCCCAGGATGAGGCGTCCCGGTTCAAGCGGTGCCGGCATCACTTGCTGATGAATTCCTACAGGCACGATGGCTCTCCTCAGAAACCTATATGGCCCTATGATCCTATGCGCTACCGATTGGTAATGCCGTAATTCCCAAAATCAAGCCCACAGTCGTCCCAAATTTCTGCTCTGCTCTGAGGGAGCTCGCCATGCCACTATTCTGTCGGCTGGACAAGCCGACTGTGCTCGGTGGGCGAAGTCGGCCCTGGTCCCTTTGCATGTTTAGGCTTACAGCTTGGGGGGGCTGCGTTTCAAGGGGTGAGGGTTTAAGGTTTAAGGTCCTGCTTAACCCGAGATGTCTTGGGCTCGCCCTAAAAATCTGGCTTCTGGAACGCAGTACACCTTAACCCTCAAATCAAAATCCCAGTGTAGTATCTGAATGTAAATGTCATCTGTCAGCCAGATAACATGTAACTAATATGCTAAGCTAAGGACTTCAAATCGCTTCAGCCTCGGCATTGATACAGAAACAAAATAAGGACCAGGACCGCACCAAAAACGCAGAGGGAAACGCTTGCATCTTCCCGCGAGCCTGCAGCAGGCCGATCCATGTTGAAGGAAGCAGAGTTACTGTGCTGCGGCTACAGTGTTGGCATGCTCAAGGGCCACGGTTTGAGAAAGTTTCCCGTGCTTTCTGCCCATCTGGGTCCCGACTCGCGAGAAACCACAGGGAACGAGAACCTAGATCACGATCCTAAGGCCGCCGGTACATTGGGAGCATGCCTTGTGAGGTTTCATGGTTCCAAACCTCCCCAAGCATTTCAAGAGCAGGAAACAAGGCACTTTAACATCACCACAGCAATCCAAGGGATTGGCCCAAAACGATTGCCACAGCGCCCAGCAATACCCCCAAAAGCTCTGTAAAAACAGCATGCAACTTCCATCCCAGAGCCCAGAGCAACGCTCCAAGAGCATTTGTTCCTGAAAGTAGCACCAGTCTTTCCAAAGGAACCAGATAAGGGCTTCAGGCAAACGTAGGGTACTGTGCGAATGTCGGGCTCTGCAGTTGCAGCTGTTCCGGGTACTGGGGTTGCGGGGTCTCATGTGGTGCAGCGCACCGCTCCATGGTACGGCCAGGTGCAATACTTGTGATAAGGAGCCCGAAGGGACAGTGTTAATTGGGAGTTTTCGAAGATAGGGGACCCTAATATAGTACCCCAAATAGTAGGATCCTGAAAAAAAGGATCCCAAAATACAAGGTAGCCCGAATTTTCAGAAACTCCCAATTCGAAACACCGCCTTATCCCTGGCATCCAACCGAGGCGCCGGCTTTGCCGCCTTTGTAAGGCCCCTGGTGTTCAGGGCCCCTCCTGCGTCCCAGAGTCGAGTCGAAACAGGGGAGCGAAGGGAGGATCCGCTGTTTGAATCAGGGCTGGAGCCCTTATTGGGGATCTTTCTGTGAGTCGAAGCTCCGGATCCTTCTGTTAAAGCCCCCCCCTGAAAGATGTGAAGGTCCATGCTAGGGTGTCCCTAGAACCCCATCCTCCTTTCAGCACTTTGGGGCTTTAGGGCTGTAGGGATTTACGGCTTTACGGCTTTAGGGCTTTGGGGCTCTAGGCTTCAGAGCTTCGTGGTTTCGGACACAGCGTCCCCAGCTCGAGAGTTTCTCATCCCTGGGGCCCTTTGGGGCTCGCAGCCGAGGTCACTAACTCGCATCTAACGAATGGGGCCTTGAGGACTTGAATAGGGCTTTGGGGGTAGCGGGTAGAGTATACTATCTTTACGTCTCGGAACCCTGATGGATCCCAGTTCAATTACCGGGGGGCTCTGATACCACATCTGAAACTGCGCTCAGGCTTGAAGATGTGTACTTCGAGGAAATAAAGGATTCTGCTTCGTGCCCTCGAAAAGCGCGTCACCCCTGGTCATTTCCCTGTACCTTCCTCCATCCCCTAGCTGTGCCGAAGTATACCTCAGCCGTGCGCAGGACTTGAAAACACTTAGCATCTCGACTCCCTCATGGCCAGCGTCCTTGTGGGCGTTCACAGCTGTCACATTCGCCTGCAAGACTGCTTTCTCAGGGAGTTGTTCACAACCCTAAACTGCCCCTGAACCCTCTGCCATAAAAACCCCTCCTGTGTCGCGAGCTAGGATTCATGATTTCGCTGAGGAATCACTCAAGCTTTTGGGAATTGTAAGCTGGCCGGAAAGCTCTCGTTTCGGAGCTTCTGGTGCCGCAGCAGCAGTGCTTTTGCTTTCAGGGCTTCGGGCTTGCTTCATGCCATGCTAAGCCCGTCTCACTTGTGGGAAGGTATTGCTGTCTGAACAAACTCGCAGACAGGGCCTTCTTCAAACCTGATACAGCCGGGGAGAAGCAAGCATGGTCTGATGTCCAAGAATTCCTCCAAGGGCTAGGGCCAAGGATGGGCATAGCAAGACGACTGGCAGTCGACAACAGCATCAGCAAAGCTGGTCAGACACGTCTTGCCCCTCACAAGTAGGTTCCCGAGGACAGGGGACACACAACCGAAGCAACTGCGAAGCTTGCTGTGATTCCATGATGTCACGTAAGCCGCCGCCGGATCCTCCGGATAGCGAACACAGGGCGGCACCCACAAGACAACCCAAATGACAGCTCGGCGCACCCGGCTCACGTTTGAAGGAGTCGTGGTGCTGTTTCTCAAGTTGGCCGCGGCGATCGCCTGAGTCATTGCGAAAGTTCCCTGCTGAGACAATTTAGTTGAACCGTTTGTTTCACTCGGTATGGGATTAGATGGAGATTGCCAGCCTTGCCCCAAAACTTATGACAGGCCGAGTCCCACTATGCGACGAACCATGTTGCTGCAGCGAAGCAGCAGCATGTGGAAATCGCAACACCCCACAAACAACCTCACAGTTTGTGGGTCCTTGTCGAGATGGCTGCTCCTGACGTTGATGTTTAGCCATTCATCTCCAGCATGGCCCATTCTCCAGAAGGGACATTTTCATAAACCCCTGGACCCAACAACCCTCCGAGCTAGAGGCCTGGATTTCTCAACTCTTTCTGTGCACTTCGATCGAAGCTAGGTGCGTGATGTTGTCGACACGATTGGGGTGTAGGAAGAAGTTCGGAAGCAAAACAGGAAAGTTGTCTGTTTGAGGGAGTTTTCGCTGCAGCCCGCGAGATCGAAAACGCGACACACGTTCAAAGGTCAAATCTCACTAAGAAACAACGCCACACCCATCCATATCCGGGCACAACTCCCCGGCGAGAAACTCTAAGTCCAAAGCCGTCGCATTTGGGTGCAGCAATGGTGCTGCCTCCGATAATGGAACTGGGGGTTAAAATTTGGGGTGATGCTTTCGGGCTTCGTTCAAGATGCTGATTTCTGGGAGGGTTGAATTTAGGACAAAGTAGCGAGGAAGTTTGGGGTGCTCTGGACTGCACATTGGAGCTGTGATCTCGTAAATGTTGCTCTTTGCCAACCCCAGGAATGCTTTAGAATCCTAAACCCCGAAGCCTGCACTCTAGGAAGCCCAGCATTGGATTGCAGTCTGCTTTGCTCAGACTTCTTGCAGGTTCTTAGCAGTTCACGTTGCTCAAAGGTAGAAGAGACCGGGCTGGCTGAAAAGAGTTTCAAAGTATACGGGACCCTGCCATAACCCTAAACGACAAGGACTCTTATCGCAAGGGTCAACGACATAGCCGCGTACTTTTCTGAAGCCCTTGCTCGTCCTCGACCTCAAATGACTCAAATCCCTGCAGGCCTTGACGAGCACGGAGGAGCTCGTGTCCACCTCGCAATAATACAAATATGCTAGTGATTCGAGGAGGTACAGGTACGCAAGAGGGCCGAAGGCCCAAAACCAGCGGCCTTAACCCTGGTTAAACCGACACGGGATTGAGACCTGGGGCGTTTCGATACCCGGCGATTCGCGGAACGGAACCAGAAGCTTCTTTACGGCCTCCCTTCAAGCATTGAAGTTTTGAACTCACCCAGCTGGCTGGTGAACTCCTTCAATGCATGGAACCCCGTAATCATCAAAAGCATCACACGGCTACGTCGAAGCATCCCAAGGCCTTGATACTGAGCATGGAGTCGACTCTTGCCCCCTGCAGATTCACGATGGCGCCATTCCAGGCCTGCATGCGGTCTCGGATTGCTAGGTTTGCTTTGTTCGGGTCGCAGCTCGTGGAGGACTCAGGGGCGCTCGCGTAGGCGCAGCGTTCTAAGTCGAGGGGTGACAAACCATCCTGGAACAGGGCACGACAACGCCGCACGCTGCCAAACAAATCAGCAATCCGAGGGCCCCTGGAGTTGTAGACTCTAGCCGCCAAGTACCGAGCATAGACAGGAGGATTCTCATTCCTGAAACCCGGGTTTGGCTTGGATTCCCCACAGATCCGGCATTGCCAACATGTCGCCACAACTGCAGGGAAGCATGCGACGTGCTTTGCAGTCGCCATGCCACTGCCGGCTTCAACTTTGGAAGCCTGTACTGGCTGACTGGCTACAAGGTCGAATCGGGATTTGTGTTCCGCTCTGGTTGCAGCCCTGCAGCAGCGAAAGATCCCGACGCTGTGGGAAAAGCTGCCTTCTTGGAAGGGGCTCATCCGCCTGCCGTCACTTCAGCAGCCAAATGTCACCATCGCTCCAGTGTATCGTCATCTGCGCATCGCGACGGACTCTGCCGAGGAGAATGTGGCCCTCAACTTCGTGCATGACCGCTTCTTCGTTCACACGCTCCAGAGGAGTTTCTGCTTCGGGCATGTTCCACTGGAGGTGCCAGACCATGCTATTTCTGATGACCTCACCGACGCAGCGATTGTCATCCATACGGTACCAAGCACCTTGGAACTGTTCCCAAAATCTCTCGGAAGACTGTGAACACGCTGCGGACGGTAGGCTTGTCACCTCCCCACAATTTGCACAGTCGTCAAGGCAGGGGCACAGCTGAACCTGGCAGAGCCACCCGCACTTGCTAAAGGCGTAATTAAGATCTCTGCCTACGGCGACTTTCAAGATCAGTACCCTCGCCAGCTTCGTAAGCAGTTTACACAGAACTCAGTGTTGCTGTTGTGTCAGCTGTCCTCTGTGTCGAGCCCATCGATGGGGTCCTGCGCCGCATCCTGCGCATCACGCAACTCTGTTACTCTCGCGGCAAATGTCCTGAAAGTTGCTACTGGTGTGCATGCGGCTCTTGCTGCTGTCATCGCTACTATCATTCTCGTCGCCGTCGTCGTTGTCGTCGCTGTTGATTGGTGATGGCGGTGTTCTTGTTGTTGTTGCCGTTGGATGAGGCTTTGAAATTGATAGTCGCTGTGGTTGTGGTTGCGGCTGTGTGTGTGTGTTGTGGTGGTAGTAGCAGTAGCAGTGTTCCTGTAGTAATAGTGGTAGTAGTAGCAGTAGTAGCAGTAGTAGCAGTAGTAGCAGTAGTAGCAGTAGTAGCAGTAGTAGCAGTAGTAGCAGTAGTAGCAGCAGTAGCAGTAGCAGTAGCAGTAGCAGTAGCAGTAGCAGTAGTAGTAGTAGTAGTAGTAGCAGTAGTAGTAGTAGCAGCAGCAGCAGTAGTAGTAGTAATAGTAGTAGTGGTATTAGGAAATGGTACATAAGTAGTGTCGGAGAAGAACCAGCAGCAGTGCAAGTAGCAGTGGCAGTGGCGGTGGGAGGTGCCGGCGGCAGTAGCAGTGGGAATGACAGCGGCAGCAGTAGTATCTACACGAGGAATAACACGAGTAGTAGTACGAGCAATACTAGTCGGCATCGTCGTGAACTGGCTCCTCATCTTTCTGCAGTGCACATTGATTGTAGCAGCCCAGGGCCAATCCGCGACCGCCGGCAGACTGATTGAAGCACAACCACATAGCAGCAATGGAAAAAGCCTCAAGAGCCTACAAATATCTTTAGGAAACTTCTTCTGCAAACTTCATTTCGCTACACGACACGAACACTTGTTCTCGCCTGCGAGCAGCACTGATGGATCAAATGGCTGCAAAAGTTGTGACAGGCCCCATGCCTAAGCTCCAAAACCCCAGAGAGGAGACCATTCAGCATTTTGACTTTGACTGGCCCGTAGCCTCTCCGCCCTGACGCTCTGTTTGTCTACGACTCCACGAGTCCTACTCACTTCGCCTCAACCGAGTGGTAACCTCACAAAGGACATAGGGGCCTTTCGCAATTAGAGTAGGGCATCGATGTATGTTCTAGCATGGCTATGTAAGGACTAGAAGTATAGGGGGATACTATGAGTAACCACTGAAACCTCGATACTTGGGCTTCTTTGCATTTGTACTCGACCTCGCACCACGATTCCTGGACCCGAACAACAAAACCTTCCATGCTCTAACCCAACCCCAAGTGCTCAACTTCCCGTCGCACACAAGGCCCTCCAAAGCGGCCACAGATGGGTCTGACAGGCACGGGGTTCAGGGCTTAGGACGTATCGTGGAAGCTGTAGTCTACCGAAGCACAAGCCTGAGTCCCCCAACCACAACTTACAAGGATGCAAGGATGTTCGGGACGTTACCCCGTGTCTTGGGAAAACTGGCTTTCGGCTTACCCTTGCCGAAGGTGTGCAGCTGCACTGAAAGCTGCTTGGCTCCAAGCCCCGAAACAGTTCGTGACCCTCCACGCATGCTACATACTGTGCACTATGTTCATGTGTACCAGTCACGCCGTCAAAATCCCTTGAAAGCACGACGTGGGTTGGCTCATGCTGATGTTTGAAGTTGTATTCAGTGTGATGTGCCCAAGTTTCTTTTTCCGACACCATGCGCTTTACTTCAGGATTCAGATGCAGCTTTCTGACTGCAAAAGTTCGGGCCCAGGGCAAAAAGCTGAGGCTGTTCAGCTTTGGGGGTTTCACAAAGCCGCGCCTGCACGAAGACCTCTCCGATGTCGCCTTCAACCCAGGCTTTCACACTCTACATCCTAACTGAAGAAGCATCTGAGACTGCAAATCAGGTTCCGCCTCGGAATCATGCACCATGAACCCTGGAAGTCTTCAATACGGGCCAATTGACACTTCCAGATTCAAAGCAGAAGAATGAGTGTTCAACTGCTCTGGTCACGGTTTGAGAAATTGCCATAACCACTGGCACCGCCACAACCAGCCGTGGTCGTCAGCATCGTCTTATGTCAGAATCACCATCACCACCGTCGTCATCAACGTGACCATCGTCAGAATCATAATTATCATCATGCTCGCCAAATCGGCATCATCACGTGCGTCCCGAGCACCTGCATCGTCAGTGTTGTGATCATGCTCATCATCCGCGTCGTCATCATCATGCTGGCTCCAGGGCCACCAGGAATGATGATCACTGGCGAGTCAGTCCAAGCTGGCTCTTCATCACTTTTCTTCACCGTCATGACCGTGGTTCGCCCGCTTTATCTCCGCCACAATTGTGGCCGACAATCTTGCCATCATTGGCTGACTGCGCGCCTGCGTGAACAGTGATGTTGGCGTCGTTTGCCAGGAAAAGGTGTGACCTGAGCCAGATGCATCGCCGAGCATCCTACTCCCCACCAAAAAACCCTGTTTGCCAAACCCCTGAAGAAGAGCCTCAAACCACGGAAACTTTCTGAGCACGGAGCCCGAAAACTCTTGAGCGCTCGAATCTCTGACGCGATGCCCTCAACCCTGACCCCAGACCCTGCAGACCAGTTGCTTTGTGGTTTGGGGTTTCAGGGAATAGAACACGCAAGTTCCGTAGGGTTCAGGATTTGGGAGGATGGGACTTGAGTGCACGTTCTACATACGATTCCAGTTTACAGGTCGAGACTTCTCCAGATCAGGGCTCCCCCACTGGGGTTCTTATAACACACCACCAAACCCAGTGCCAAAACCCCTCAAACTGCGCACCTGTTCACTGCAGACTGGAAGCGCTGCACCTCAGGGGTTCGGGCTTGTGGATTGGGCTTCAAAGTCATCCAGGACTGTGCTTCTCAAAGGGCTTTACAGAGTCTACTCACGGCGCCTCTTGGATTTCGTGGGGGTTTTGGGCTTTAGGCTCAGGGTTGAACAAAGTCTAAACAAGCTAGGACTTTGGGATTACAAATTTAGTGCTCCTCGCCAGGAGTTACGCACTGCGAAGGCCAAACCAGCGGGACAAGTACGGCGGGTCCAAGGTCCAGCGCTCGACTTTGGATTGCGGACAATACAGACAAGACATTGAAGAACGATACCCGACTCGCGAATGTGTTTCCAAACAGTTGTGTAACAGCTTTGTGCAAGGTTCGTCTCGGTGGCTCCTGGTGGTGTGCTGCAATCTATCGCCCCTAAACCCTAAACCCTAAACCGAGCCATGATCTCCTTGTGACAGAGGGGTTTCTCCTTTCTTTCGAGGCGGCAACGGTGAGTCAATGTTCCACATTTAAGGGTTGACTTACTTGTCGGGTATGATGGGGAACTAGAGGTTAAAACCTTTTTGGTTATATAGGGATTATATAGGGGCTATACTACCCCAAAAAGGTTAAAGGTTACTCTACTACTTACTACTGGGTTGAGCTTGGAGGTTTCTGCAGCGTTTTGGCTGTCAGATCTCGGGGTTCGGGGGTGATGCTTGTCCACTCTCGTGCCGGAGGAGTTTCAGACATGGAGCTTGGCTGTCACACATTGCAGCTTTTAGGGTGGTACTTCGGGACTTTTTTCAGCCCACATGTACTCGATGCTTGGGGCTTCCCGGCCCATGTCGGAGTTCAGAACCGCGTGTGGGACAGGCTCCCTCCTGACACAGGCCAGGCGCATTTGCGCAAACCTGGAACCCAAGGTGAACATCGTCTCGGCGCAGACAGCCCTCGCTTAAGTCATTCAAGATAAGCCGACCCCAAAAGAAACTGGCAGAAAGATGGCCCTTCTTGGAATACATCTGAAGGAAAACTAAGTTGCCCTAAGGACTTCTTGCGCATGAAATGGAAACACCGATCCCTGCGACCGAAGTTTTCGAATGTCGAGGTCCGCACCGATAGGTTGCTCTTGCCGTCTGCAGAAAGGTCACCAGTAACGACATCCACCCAGACCTGTCTCAGGAGCCGAGTCTGGCTGCTGTTAAGCTGAAGGGTACGGGTTTTTTGAAGACCCATCTACACCCCGCCGCTGCCTGAGCACCACCAGTCACGGACACGGAATCAAGTGGCTTCGGCACGAAAAGCCTGAGGTAAGCATGGGGTCAGGCTCTCCCGAATGCAGTTGCAACTCTTTGCTCAGATCCGGTTTTTGCATCTTGACCTGAGACTGCCAAAGAGATGCTGGTTGGACTCCATTGTTGCGGCGGTTGTAATGCAGGGTCACCGGTGCGCCATACACGTATTCAAAGCCATGCGGTATATTCTTCGCATTGGTACTACTCGTGCCTGTTCGGGATTCGTCCGGGTGTTGGCGGTTGCAGGTGTTGCCCTCTGGCAAGATTGCAGGTCTTAACAGAAGAATCGGGGCGAGGCGGCTTGGATGAAAAGCTTAGGGGCCAGTGCTCCAGTGGCCGGGTCATGAAGACCAGGCTATGATGGCGGCAGAAGGATTCGGCTGGAAAGGAAGACTTTGCAAGTCAGGGTTCAAGAAGTCTGGGCTAAAGAAGGCTACAGTCTGCGGTCTGCATGAGGCCGTGGAGCAGGCTCTCGTTGAAGCACGTTCCACGACAAGCGAGGTATCAATTCGGGGCTCTGCAGTTCGAACTCGAGGTTCGGTCCCTCATACAAAGAAAGACAGATAGGGGCTTGGGTGCTTAGGATAGGACCTTGGCGGCACGTTGTACTTACATTGTACAGAGTCATATAGGGACGATTGGCTGATACTTCTACGAATCACGCGGAGCTCTATACTCTGAAGACCTGAAGGCCTAAATCCGGAAGCACCACTGTGGCGGGCGAACGACTGCTTCAGGTTTTCGTCTGAGGCTGGAATACTCTTTTGAACTCCCTCTCTCGACGAGACTTGTCTTTGGAAACTCTCAGTCACAAGCCTTCTCACCCTTTCGAGTTGTGCCTGAATGCCTCAAAGCCTACAGTGATCCGAGAGCATGTCTTTCTAGCGCCTTAACCCTCAATGCTATACTTCGCCCCTCCGCCCATTCTGAGGGAGCCACGTTGCTACCTGACCGCCCGCCGGCCAGGAGAAGTCTTGCCTGGAAGGGGCTTTCGGAGGCTGCGACTTGGTCAAAAAAGTCATCGGGAGGTGGCAGAGTTGACGGGCTGAACTCTCCCCGACAACCCCAAAAATTTCAACCCTGCAAGACCCCGAAGACCCTCATCGAAGGAACACCAGCAAAATGGGGCAGTCGCAAAGCCTCAAGGACCCAACGCTCGGACAGGAGCCCTGAGAGTGCCGGCTGTGCCCTCTGTGCCTCGCAGCGCGCTCGTCCATGCCCAAAAGAAGCGTGGACCCGAAGGTCATGGGCTGAACCTGCAGAGAGGGTTCAGGGCTTCCGGGTTTTAGGCTTTGACGGTTTGATCAAGGCCGCAACCTGGAGCTTTAATTAGGACCCCAAACAACAGGCAGTTCTGAAGGTTGGTGCTCTTGGATAGGAGCCTGCATGATCTTCTCTTCAATTACATCGACAGAGCTACAAAAACCCTGAAAAAAACTTTCTCTATGCATTCCAACACCAAGGAAGCACAGATCCGACCACCTGCACCAGAGAGACAGAGTCCGAGCCCGAAGTCATGAAGAAGCCACGAGACGCCTGGAAATCCTAAACAAAATAAAGAAGCCCAAAGCCCCGAAACCACTGGAGCTGCAACTCTGAACCCACCAAACCCCTTAACCGAACCCCCCTAACTCGTAACCTCCCAAACCCACCCAACCACCCCTGGCTGCCTGAGACTGGACCGTCCAACCCAAGCCCATAGAGTCGGCTGCGATATCGAGGTCGGGCTGGCGAGCGGCGGAAGGCTCTGGTTTGTCTGGGGGTTTTGGGGGTTTAGGGTCTAGGGCTCTCGGCGATAAAGCTCTAGGGCTTTAGGGCTCGAAGGCGGCAGGGGCCTTGGGGTCTTGGGGTTTAGAGTTTCAGAGTTTACGCTTGAGGGAAACTTTAAGGTGTAATTGCAGAGGGGAACCAGACAAAAATACTGTTACCCAAAAATACTGTTACCAGGTCTTCAATATTAGTGCGTTAGGTCATTAAGCTTTTCTGGGTTTCGGGGTTTAGAGTTTAGGATTCCAGTGGACTGAGTTGTTGGGTGCGGCAGAGGGCTCGGGAAGGACCGGGGGTTGTGGGTTAGTGTGGGGCCAGGTCCAGCGCAATTGGGCGAGTTTCGTCAGCTCCAACTCGTAATAAAGCATAATTCAGGATGGTAGGGTACAGTATAGTATACTTAATGTACATGATGTCGGAGTGCATGTGCAAGCTTCTCCGAAGTTCTGAGACATGTCTGTCCTAGCAATCAAAACCGCAAACCAACAGTGCATTTGACCGACATGCCAGTCTGCACTTTACCTACTTCTGCGGGGACTATACAAAGGTTCAGACCTGACGTAGCCGTGACTGTCGTTGACGGGTGTAACATCAACACCGCGTCGTCGCACACACACCCTTCTGCTCCCATGCACGCCTGCCTATCTCTGCAAACATAAAACAGTGGGGCAAGGGTGTGGTGGAAATCTACGGAGTGATTTCAAGTGCGGGACCTACTTGCAGGGGCCATGACCGTGCGTGGAGAGAGTGACACTTCAATCGAATCGAACTATCGTAAGCTTGTGAGTCTGAGACCCTTGCAGAGAACCACCCAAAAAAGCCCACGTCTGCCTGCCTTCTGACGAGCCGGATCAGTAACGACATGAACTACCATTGGGGAGCTCACCTGCGTCTGGCTTAAACCCACGGACACGGAACCCGGGTTCTGATACCACTCGCTGCTAGTTGCTACACCGAGACCAAGACTTTCCAGGAGAGCTGTCCGAGGCAAAGCTTTTTCGGGTTTGGGACCAAGCTCGGAAGGGCTATACCATAAAGCTTGGCATTCGGGGAGAGTGTTGCGTTGTAGGGTTTGGTATCCAGCTGGTCGTCTCAGGCAAACTGGACTTTCGGAGCATTGACGAAATGCCTTGCATCTGGGCTCAACTTAGCTGTCACGGTCGGGCCAAACGATCACGAGAGCTCATTCACAAGATCTAAATGGCAAATGGCGCTATTCGCCTACGTGAGGGGCGATGGTGACGGAGATTTCTACGGAAGTGGTGGTCGCTATACTATGCGTAGAATCAGGACGAGGAAAACCATGAAGATGAGGATGATCGACATCACAATCATGCCGTCAGGATCTTGTTCATGAACACTCGGCTTCTGACCCCGGAAGCTGGATCAATAAACCGAGACTGCGCCTCACTAGGCCCTAGGCAAAATACTTCCAAACGGATGTTGCATCGAACCCGGAAACAGGCCTCCCTTACCTCCCTGCAAGACTGTCAAACAAGCACAGCTGCAGATGCCGACCTCAGAGCCCTTTACAAGACAAACCTTCCACAAGTTCCGTCATAGTGTAGAGACATCCGTCGGTCAAGTCGGTGAGCTATAGAACTACACGAGACGAGAGCTCTTCGCAGAATCAAGCCGCTATGTGGACATGAACCACCAATGCCTGGAGCCGCTGGAAGGGAGCTAGCCAGTCGCGTGATGCGGACGCAGCAGCGAGCTGCAGAAAGATGCACCTTTGAATCTGCTTCCAGCGTTCCGAGATTTCTATACAAGTCCAAAGCTGCATGTCGTATGTGGGTCAGGGACGAAAAACGCGACGATGATTTCTTGCGGAGTGAAGGAACCGAAGTCTCAAGTTTGGGGCTCCAGCTTCAGAGCCGACAATTTCAGCCCCAAAACGCCCGTGTCGGAGCCTAAGATCGTATCATCTACCCACAAGTGCCCGAGCTCTGCACAGGACTGTCATGACCTGGGAGGCGCATGGAAAGCTTCGCATGATGGTCCCAGGAGATTGAGAGTTTCTGGAAGCTTGAGGCTCAGGGATGCATGGGCTGGACAGGTTGGGATTCAAGCTGCCCGGCAAGCGGTCGCATGCGTGCTCCTGCCTGAGGCGGTATTTGGGATTGCACTCCTCATGCAATTGACGGGGCCGTACTTCGCTGGATTTGTCCTCCTTGGTTCCAGTCCATCTGCTCCACATGCTGCCTTGCTGACTGCTCTGAGTTGCGAGTTGATCGATTTCACGCTGCTTTGCCTCGATCTTCGAAGCAGCGTCAATTGTGACAAGATAGGGCCCGCAACTTCACCGCCAGCTTCGTAACGAAAAGGACAAGTATCACAGCTACCAACAACGAACAGCTGCCAAACATACCGGACACCCTTTGGAGCTTGGGTTATTCTGTGAGCGTGCCTGCCTGTCACCAAAGTCGACCTTGGGTCTGAGGAACAGCAAAGTCAAACTCGCCCCTGTCTTCGTGGTCATCCCTTCCTAGTAGGGCTTCTGTCAAGACCTCTCAAGAACGGAGCGCAGCAACTTATCGAACGCACCCAGAGCCCAGCTCAAGCACATGGCACACCTCTTCGGAAATACGGCATTAAGGGCTTTGTGAATCTCTGCTCGCGCAGAAGATCCTCCGTCAGAACATGACCAATCCCCCCAACAGCGACCTTGACCCCACAAATAAGCAAAAATCCCCCAATGACTCTAAAACCCAAAACTGACGTATCTACGATTCCCGAAATCCTCTCACCTGAGGTACCGGCCATCCTCGGGAAGAGGAGAGAGAGCGCAGAAGCTAAAATCCACTAATTCGCTCGGCACTTTGTGGCCGGCCTTTCTTGGTGCACCAAAACCCTCCCTGAGCCGCCATGGCCCACCATGAAGGATGGAGGGTTTGAGGTCATAGGGTCTTATTAAGCTGAAGTTCAGGGTTTTATTTGTGTTTGAGGCTACAATCTCAAAGGAGGCGCTCCAGAGTTTGCGCTTTGGAGCTTGAGGTTTCATCTGTGGCCCAACCAGGCTGACCCTAAACCAGGGTGTGGCTTGAAACAGGCGTTGCTTCGGCTTGTGGGTTTGGCCATGTCCAATGCAAGGTTCCGAACGATTTCAGGCGAAAAAACGCATCCAGGCGTCAAGCCGAAAACCGTCGTACTGAACCCTCCTCCACGGTTAGACTCTTGAAACCGATTCTTGCTACATACATTCGGCGGATCTAGTTGGGCCTCCGTTCCTCAGGCCCGGGCAGTCTTGTTGTGATGGAAGCCTTTGAAACCACCCTCCTCGTCGTCGTCCTCAGCACTTGGCTCCCAGGCCTACAATCCCGAAGCCCTTACCGACGAGCCCGTAAGATCCTATGGTATGATCCTATGATACACGATAAGACCCTGCAACCTCCTATAAGATCCAATGATATCCTGTTTGCTGTACAAAAGGTATGAGGCACCGAAGGAGTCCTACGCCTGAGCACGCTTTGCTGAGTCAGGAACTCTTGTCAGGCCTTGCACTATAAGAAACTCTTACGGAAAGTGCGGAAAGCTTTAGAGAACCCTTGTGAAGCCCATTTAGCCAACTCCAAAACAAGACCAGTTTGGTGCTCATTTGTTGGGCCTTAGAACCTGGCGGCTGCGAGCTGTAACGAGAAGAACAAACAAGGCCCAAACCGGAAATCCTGAGACCATTTAAGAGGCTTAGGCTTCGGGTTTAAGTGAAATGGGCGGGAACCGGCCTCGCGGATGGTACGCACAATGCGTTCCACACGGTCCCCACCTTTCCAGGAGAAGGTCTCGATCTTCAGGGGACCTCCCGGGCATCGGCGAGGAGTTGGAGCTTCAGGGCTTCGGGATGGGGTCGGGCTGGAGGCTTCGGGACAACCTCAAAGCAACAGACAATTAGAGCCCACAGCTTCAGAAGATGAGATCTAACCCAGAGCCTCAACGCTCCAGCATACGTGTCTGCACCTGTGAGCCCAAGCCCAGAAAAAAGAGAAGAGAGCGAGTAGCAGCGCAACTAACCCCCGAAAAGGGCCAAAGTGGTACAGAACTGTACCCCGAGTGCTTGCACTCGCAAGCCGGAACCCTAAGGGAGCGCAAAGGACACCTCCTTTAGCTTTAATTCCCGTCGGAAAAATCCTCAAGCTCTCTCCCTCTAAAGGCGGATGTCCCGATGCCTCGTGGCTCCTCCTGCACATCCGCAGTGCGCTTCTTAGCTCCGTTACTGAATTGCTTGTCGATGAAGCTCCAGAGGGGCACACGGGATCAATGTTGACACTAATTTACTCCGGTTCTTACATGAATCTTGCGACTCTGTATTTCTCAAACAAAGCGACCTACCCAATCCCGGATGTTGCTGCGAGTTACTCTCAGATCTGCCCGAGGCGTGCTAAACCACACGCCTGAACATCTTAGCCCGCTCAACATCACAAAGCACAAGAACTATCAACATCTCCCTCGAAGGACCATCTCCGGAAACCGAAAGCATTTTGGTCGAGGAATAAAAAGCATGCCGACAAATTCACCCTGAATTCAACAATCAGCTGCGGAAACTGCCATTGGGTTTCGGCCGATCCGAAGTTTGAAAGGATACCTTCTACCAAAAGTCCAAGACCCCCTTTAGCCCCAAGCCCGAAACAACCCTTGGCCAGAACAAGTTCTTCAAATTCTTACCAGACTGACTGGAAGCCCAAACGGCGTGCAGGTAGGCGCAACCAGATCCTGGCATGGAAATGCTAAAAGGAAAACCAAAACAACCCTGAAAAGATCCCACAAGAACGCCTCTTTACGAAGAAGGAAAGTCCCGTCCTCGCCCCTCGCTCGGGCATTGGAGGCCAAAAGAACCACAGCCCAACACAAGAAGACCATGGTCTCCTTGGGTGGTTCAAAGTTGCTTAAGGGTTTAGTGTTGAGGGTGTAGGGTTTGAGAAGTCCTTGTAAACATATGACATATGAAGTGTTTTCCGTGTACTAGTCCTGGGTGCCGGGTGTACCATCTAAGGATGGCGATTGGGGGTCTGGGTTTGGGGTCCGGGACCTTAATCTAAAAATGATAGACACGAAAGCTCCCAGAAAGGGCTTCTCAATGTTTAAAGGATTTCGGCCAGCCAATTCTGATCCAATTTGGAGGTGTGGGTTTGACAGTGATCTTGGCCCCTCAAGCCACACAAAAACTTTCTCATGCTTTAGGCCGAACTCGACTGGTAATGAGGTGATGGGTGGACTAGTGGAATGACCGAACTGCCTTTGCCCGAACCGCAAAGTGACCGTAGTCGATCACTGGGATAAGTGTATGGCTTGTTGCAGACAAGCCGCAGAGAGTATTTCAAGGAAGCCCTCGTTTGGGGCTTTTGAGCCGTAAAGTTCAGGATCCACAGGGCGCATGCTGGCGCTGAAAGTGGCTGAACGAACTTCGGGTTGTAGGGAAGCTGGGTGGGATTCCGGGCATTGGGAAGTGCAGGGCCCTCCAGGCTGAGACTGCGAAGTCCTGACACTGCTCATGCTACACGCCTTTCAACTTTTGGCCCGACGTCCCCAGGTTCCCAGGCAGCAAAGAGAAGTGGCACAATGTCGCGGTGACCCCCGACCCCTCACTGCCTCCCCTTCTCCTCGCAACCTTGCATGAAGTGTGGGAACCGACTTTGGAAGCTCCGTAGGTAGTCTAGTATCATAATTCACTATCGTAGATGATCGTAATATCTTGTTCTCTCTTATTCTAGCCGCCGCGCGAAGCCCAAGAACAGACAACCCTCTGCACCGTGATCGGCCGGTCGGGCCATTTTTTCTCCCGCCCGCTGAGTTCGCTTTAAACCCTTCGGGCGGCCCTTGCAATGCCATGCACGGGTGGCCTGCGTGGAAATCATTGCCAGGCAGGGCGCACGACCT